GCAGCGACTCCCTCCATAGGGAAACGCAACTTGGAAGAAAGGACAGATTTCTTTCTTTTTTTTTTTTTAAATCCCCTTCCCTCAATCAGATTCGTGCCACTTTGTAAGGCAGCAGATGTTGGCTAGGAGCAGCACCAAGGCTGGTTTTGTGGAGCAGATCAGGGAAGACGCTGTCACCTCTTCCAGTGGAAAGTTGGCACCGCTTCCTGTCAACAGACCATTACTAAAATTAATAATTCATGAAATGGACAAAAATAATTGAGTGTCGCCACACATGCGGAGCACTGCTGATGTGGCACCGCTGCCCACACTGCCGCGGGGGGGGGGGGATGCTGTGAGCATAGTATTTAGAGACACTCGCCCAGCTATTCTGTTTTCTTAGACCTTCTAATTTTATGTTCTCTGTTCCTCCTACTTTCAGGTACTTTTTATATGCACAGTGCTTTTGAACTCGGAGTGGATAAAGTATCTGCCCTCTGGAACATTAAAATGTATTCCCCCCCCCCCCAGTTGATTAATTGAGCTTATAGGGTAATCGTGGGTTTGTTCCTTTACGCATCAGATTTTAAAGTGTCTTTAACTAGTTTATGTGAAAATGTTTCCAAAAGTAAACACACATTTTGTCTCTGAAATACAGTACAGAATGTAATTAAACTCTTGGTGACCTAGAGTCATAATTTATAACACCCATCGCCCTGGTGCCTTGGGCATCGGGTGGATTGTGTCTAGGACTGCTATCCCCATTGCAGAATAACATTTCTTGGCATTCTGAAGTTAGCTTTAACTACAAGCCGGTATCTCCCCCTGCCCCACTTTCCTATTGGATGTGCTTATAACTGTAAATATTGTCTACCATCAACACCTATTTTGAAATGTGGAAATCATATTTACATTTGTGATTCTGTGTAGAGGAAAAACCAGTAAACAATTAGATGAATGCCAACTCTCAGCCTTTGTAATATCTCCTTTTCGTTGGCCAGAGGCTTTTTCTCAGTGAGTTGTTTTGTTCTGTTTAGGTAAGTTGCCAGAAAGTTTTTGTTGGCATATTGTCAACTTGACTGTCTAAAAATGTAATGTTGAAGGTTTGTGTCATGGTGTGTTTGTGAAACATTTCCAATAGATACATACTTTAAATTTACTTTAAATTAAAATTTATTTTAAATTATTTTAAAATTCTCAAGTTTATTTTTTTGTTTTGTTGTTAGCTACTTTCTGTACATTTTGAGTCTGATAAAAATGTTTAATTTACTGATGTTGTGTAAAGAAATGTTAGGTGTCAGGGAATGAACACTGGCAGACAAAGAGGTGAGATGACTTGATTTTGGTGAATAGGGCTGGGTTGCAAGTCTGTTCCCTAGGTTAACTGGAGACACAAAGTGTCAAAGATCCGAGTTTCTAGTGGTTGTATTCAGAAAAGAATGATGCAAATACAACTTTACAATGGGTAATCCTTACTGTGGTTCTTTGACTTTCTTGACAGCAGAAAACAAAACCTACTACAGATTGAACACACAGTTTAGGGACCAAGTAACATCAGTAGTTAGGCAGTGTTGCTAGATGAGACAAAGAGAAGGCTAGTCTGGCAAATCTGGGTGGAGGTTCATACCTGCCCCACCTCTAGTCAACATTAGGCAGTATGTGTAGCAAAGTGTAGTGTGTAGATACAGGTGGAGCATGTCAGTGGTGTGGGAGTGAGATTGTGGTGGGGAGGTTCAGACTAGCGGCCTGGGGCGAAAAGAGAGGGAATGGCATCTGGCAATGGGCCTCAAAGACCTAACCAGGGAAACAACCCCAGACAGGGTCTAGGACTTTTATGAGGGATATAGAGTAGGGTTCTCTCCCGCCCCTCCCCTCCCCCCAGGGATCATGACATCCTGAGTTTAGTTATTGAAAGTATTGAGGATGAGCCAAGCAGTAATGCTAACAGGATTCTGAGCCCCTCATCCATGGACCTCATTGGTCAACATGTGGTGAACTAGTCAACATTAGTAGCTGAATATATAAGTGATCCTGAATAACTTTGGGCTTTAATGGGGGTAGTCTGTCTCTCAAATAATCGAGAACATTCCTATTAACCTCTCTTTTGTTTGGTCCTAGGATTTAATATGCTGCCATCTTTTTCAGATTGCTTCCTTTCCTTTCAGGCTGGAAGTATGAGACAGTGGAAGCCTGATCTAGTATCTACAATGCTTTACCAGTGCCACTTAGCGCAGGGTGTGTAGCATCTAATTACTAGGGCTTTCCAGTAGAGAGATAGTTTTGAGTATAGTTATAGTAACAGTTAACCACCAGTATTAAAAGGTTTTGGGGCCAGGGTTGTAGCTCTGTTGCATGTAGCTTAGTGGTGTAGAGCCCGTTAGCATTCATGAGACTCTAGCAGGAAGGTGTATCAAGAAGGAAAGGAGTTGCTGATTAGAGATTAATGAACTTTTTTTTAATGAAAATTTCTCAGAATCCTTGATTCTGATAAAAATGCTTCTCTTTTGTTACTGTTGAATGTCACAAATCTGTTGGGATGGCTTATTCATGTGATAGGAATAAGATAACGTAAAACTTAGCATGTGACTGTTACAAATCCACATGTGAGAGGGAATGTAATATCTAAGTTCATGTGAATATTAGAAAGGTTGGAGTATAACAGAAGCATAAAGAAGATCACAATATAAATTCTTGCATTGGAAGGAAATTTACTTTTCTCAGCAGTTTGACTGGGATGATATAGGAGGTAATTGGTAGTTGTAATTGTCAGCTTTCTGTTGCTGTGGCAAAATACCTGAGATCATAACTTGAAGAGAGGAGAGATTTGTTTGGGGTCATGGTTTCACAGACTTCATGGTCTCTTGGCCCTTGCTTCTGGTGTAAGGGCATGACATGGTGACCTAAGTTCTTTAATTAGGTCACCTGTCTGTAGAGACACCGGCTGGGGATGTAGACCTTTTGGGAGCAGTCCGGATTCAAACTCTAGCAACAATAGCCATGGTACTTTTCCTCTTCCTGGCAAAGAGTTGTTGGACTGAAGCAGCCCTTCCCTTGAGACTAAGATGCTTTCTGCAGAGACATCAGAACCGTCTTACTACTGCTTTCAGCATCCCAACAGTGGTTCAGTATAGAGGATGTCAGAAATTTACCTAACATTTAAACTGATTTTAACTATAAGAGTGTACCAAAATGTTTTGGATATCAAGTGTAGAAGTTAATGTTTGTAAAATCTAAGTCACATAGTCCTGGCTAACATAAAGAATGTCTTGCATTTGGATCGTTCTTTTTTTTTTTTTTGTCAGTTGTGGGGCTGTTCAGCCTGAGAGCTGTCCCTCAGATCTTCAGCTCAAGGCGAGCACTCTACCACTTGAGCCACAGTACCATTTCCAGTTTTCTGGTGGTTAATTGGAGATAAGAGTATCATGGACTTTCCTGGCTGGCTTTGAACCTCGATCCTCAGATCTCAGCTTCATCAGTAGCTAGGATTACAGGTGTGAGCCACTAGTGCATGGCTTCGTTCTTTTTTAATCTGCCATTATTTTACACTTTCCTCATAATAACTACAGTTCTGTTGGTAATATTTGGACTTAAATTCAGCAAATGTTTCTTGACATCTTTGTCTATATTAACAGACATTCAAAATAGTGGACAAAATGAGTCATGTGTAACAGGTTTTGTTGGTCTGCTTTGTTGTGCCCTACTTTTTTTTTTGTCCATTCTCTCCTCCAGTCTGTAACTTACTTTAATTTACTTATTGTGTTTATAGTATATTTCAATATTTCCTTCTTTCTCTATTTTGCTATCTGACCCAGGGCCTCCTGCATGCTAGGCAAACTTTTTACCACCGAGATATATCCTCAGCCTCCTTAATATTTACTTATGACTCACTCTGGTTAGAGTATAAATTCCAAGAGTACAGAAAACTTTGATTTTTCATAGCTGCATTTCCCAGTGTACTTAGAATAGTAAGTGTATTCTAGGAGCAATTACTTACATATTTGCTGAGCATGTTGATGTTTGTTTTTTATATTGGAAAACTAAATGGAAATTAAAGCTGGCAATCTTAAAATATGAGTTAAAAATGTCAATAATATCTTTTAGTTCAGTGCTAGAAAAAGCTGTTGATTTTGTGCTATATATCAGGCATTGTGCTAGAGCTTAGGAATATAATGTATGAAGTATGATTTCAGCTCAATAGTTGGGCAGTATTTTGTTTTTCAAATATATATATGTATATATACGTACATATATCCTTTTTTCTGGCCCTGGGCCTTGAACTCGGAGCCTGGGCCCTAGTCCTCAGTTTTTGTGCCCAAGGCTAGCACGCTACCACTGGAGTCACTGCTCTCCTTCATTTCTTTTTTTGTTTGTGTTTTTTTTTTTTTTTTGGGTCCGGTCATGGACCTGAACTCTCGGCCTGGGCGCTGTCCCTCAGCTCTTCAGCTCAAGGCTAGCGCTCTACCACTTGAGCCACAGTGCCACTTCCGGCTTTTTTTCTTTTTTTGCTTATATGGTGCTGAGGAATCGAACCCAGGGCCTCAGGCATGCAAGGCAAGCGCTCTACCACCTTCCCAGCCCACAGTTTTTTGATGATAAGAATACACATACTAGCCGGGCGCTGGTGGCTCACGCCTGTAATCCTAGCTACTCAGGAGGCTGAAATCTGAGGATCGCAGTTCAAAGCCAGTCCAGGCAGGAGAGACCATGAGACTCCTATCTCCAATAAACCACCAGAAAACACGAAGTGGCGCTGTAGCTCAAGTGGTAGAGCGCTGGCCTTGAGCTGAAGAACTGAGGGACAGCGCCAAGCCCAGAGTTCAAGCCCCACGACTGACAAAAAAAAAAAAAAGAATACACATACTTTTTGGAGAAGAAATATATTTTTCATGACTGTTTAGAAACATGGAAAAATTCAGATGACTATTTGAGATTTTTTTTTTTTTTGGTGATTCTTGACATCTGTAGTTTTTTCCATTTTGCAATCGTCTGTTAAAGTGTTATTTTTAAAAGTCTACTGAAAAATGGAGTGGACTTTTATAGCAACTTCCTACTTTTTGGTAAGTTTGAAATTTCCTTGCAGTTGATATTTTGCTTAGCTGGTGTTTTGCTTATGATTAGCATTTAGAGAATGCTTACTATGCTAGGCATTGCATTGAGCATTTAATTCCCACGAGTGTTATGACATAAAATATTATTGTTTCCATTCTTTAGAAACAGGAATTGAAGTTAGAGAGATTGTTGCTCACAAGATGACTGGGTATAGAGACAGGATTAGACTCATATTGGTCTGCTGAAACATTTTGAGTTAAACAGAGCAAGTAACAAGAACTATTTCAGTGTGTAAAACAAAGAAATTTAACTGGGGCTGTCACAAACCTGCCTGCAGGGGAGGAGGGGGGAACAGGCTACCCAGTGAGGCTCCAGCCTGTAACAGGCAGCCAACCTAAAGGAATGACAGCAAGGCACTTGAAACATTTACCACCTAGAAAATGTAGCTCGTTATTTTACATTGTTGGTAGGTTTGAGCAACTATTTCTCCTAAAGGTACTTTCAGGGATGTGATTTCTGTCTCAAGTGGTAGATTGCCTACACTGATTCAAATCCCCAAACCACCAAAAATGAAAACAAAAAAAGTGCTTTCACCAAAGGTTAATTGTGTTATACATTGTGCTTATGTGTATATATTCAGTAATTCTTCATAGGATTCTTTTGTGTGTATATGAGGTCTGTACAACTTTGTGATGATTATTCACATGGTACTTATTTGGTCAGACTTGAAACATGCCTTACACAAGTTTCTTTTTTCTTTTTTGTCAGTTATGGGGCCTGAACTTGGCCTCGGTGCTGTCCCTCAGCTCTTCAGCTCCAAGCTAGGGCTCTACCACTTGAGCCATAGTGCCGCTTCTGGCTTTTTCTGCTTATGTGGTGCTGAGGAATCGCACCCAGTGGCTCATGCCTGCAAGGCAAGCACTACCACTGAGCCACCTTCCCAGCCCACAAGTTTCTATGCCTCCTTGAAATTAATACTGGAAATAAAAATGAGGGGAACATGGAATATTGGAAGAACATATTAGAATATTGAAACATTCCAATTTGTGTGCCTTTTAGATGGATTTTGGATGCTTTTAGGATTTGAGTAAAAGGCACTAGGTACATGAAAATGGTGATTTTTCTTTTTCTTATTTTTTCTAAATCTGAAATGGTAAGCTATCAGTTGTGCCATTAATTTTTTTTAATTTTGAGGCTATATTTTTTGTCACCTTTGATCTAATTCTGTAACATTTTCTTTTCCTTTATCTCTCCCACCCCCACTCTTTTTTTGTTTTTAAACAAAGTCTGTCTGTGTAGCATGGGCAGGCTTCAATTTACCATCTTCCTGCTTCCAAGTGTTGGGATTACAGGCATTTGCCACTATGCTTGCTGTGATTTTGTTATTAATTGAATATATCTTTATTAGAGCAGAGCAGTAGAAGTTTGATGCTAGCAATAGTATTCTTGTGTACAGTAATTCTAAAAAGTTCTAGATTCTAAGGTTTCCCATCTCCCCTTTTCTTGTGTCTGTATTGCCGTGTTGCCAGGTTTGTCTTGACTTTGTGGGCTCAAGGGATCCTTCTGAGTGGCTAGGACTCCAGGTGCATGTCATTGTGCTTTTCCCTTTTGAAATATGTTCTCAATATGGAATCCCGGCTGGCTTGGAACCTGTGATCGGCCTGTGTCCTGTGACTGGGATGAAAAGTATGAACTGCTTTACTGGGTCTACAGTTTTTAGATTTTTATTAAAAGCATGATTTTATTTTTTAATTTTATTTTTATCTTTAGCTGTACAAAGGAGTTGCCATTCAGTAAATAGTATATGGATACAATAACTCTTGATCAGTGTCACTTTATTATTCCTCCCCAACCCCTCCTTCCCAACCCCATTAAGCTTGAGTTTTAAACAGTACTGGTTTTTCAACAATACGTCATGAAACCTTACTTTGAGTCCTTGACACCCTCACCCTTGACATAAAAAGTACCACACACTTCAATTAACCGAAAAGTAAAATCTCACCATAACCTCTACCAGGACCTTATTAAGGAGAAACCCTCCTTCCCTCCCTCCCCTCTCCTCCTTCTCTTCTCCTCCCTTTTTTTCTCTCTCTTTCCCTTTCTCTTCCTTCCCTCCCTCTTCTTTCCATTATTTTGTTACGTCGTCTTAGTTTGTTGGGCCTGCTATGACAAAATATCATAGGACTGGTTAATTTACAGGCAGATACTTATTACTTATAGTTATGTAGGCTGCTAGGAAATCCCGGATCAAGGTGTAAAGCAGAATTGGTGTCTACTTCAGAGATGGCCACTCATCCCACTCATGAAAAGTAGAGCCTTGTGATCAAATCACCTCCTCTTTGTCCCACCTCTTAATACTTAAAATTGGGCATCATGCATTTTGGTAGAACACATTCTGACCATAGCAACTTTCCGTTCTTCTCTTCGTGTGTGTGTGTGTGTGTGTGTGTGTGTTGGTAGAACACATTCTGACCATAGCAACTTTCCGTTCTTCTCTTCGTGTGTGTGTGTGTTTGTGTATGTGTGCTTTTTCCTTCTACTAGAATTTATAGGATATGTGAGGTAAAAGTCATTATGTAGCATGCTCCTCTCATTATGGTTTCAAGTTTGATGTTTTAGGCTAGTTAATTCATGGGGCTGGGAAATTGTAGCCTTTTTTGTTTGTTTGTTTTGGGGCTTGAACTCACTGTCCCTGAGCTCTTTTGCTCAAGGCTCTAGCACTCTACCACTTTGAGCCACAGCTCCACTTTCAGTTTTCTGGTGGTTGGTTGAAGATAAGAGTCTCATGGACTTTTCCTGTCCTGGCTGACTTTGGTAGCAGTCCTCGTAACTCAGCCTCCTGAGTGGCTAGGATTACAGCCACCAGCGCCCAGCTTGAGTACCTTAGTACTCAAGGGGTATTTTTAGTGCCAGGCATAAGGTGCCATCATGTACCTCAGCTAGATAAAGGCTGTTATCTGATAATCTGTGCTTGGTCTTTGTTATTCATTATCTAGTTATACATTTGAATTCTTTTTGTTTAGAACTCAAAATGGTACAATTTATTTTGAGGAATGTTTTTCTTAGCCCTGCTTTGAGGAGTTTGTGGTATTTTTCCTGGATTATTGATCTATTGATATTTAAATTTAGATTTGTAGCTTTATAATATATCAGAGAATCAGCCTGGAGCATTTCTTTTTAGAATGTTGAATTGGCAAACCTCTTTGTGTATTTTGTAATCTCTTGTGGCTCTTTCTGTTTTTCATTGCTCATCCTGATAGGTTCCTTTAAAGTAGTCAATTGTTTGCCATACCTTGGAAGTGGGTTACTGAATAAGCTAACCACACAAATGCTATGGATGTTTGTAGATAGCTGAAAAGAATTTATGATGTAGGCAACCATAAATTTTACTGTTTGGTTAGCAGTCATTTACAGGCTATACATACTCTAGATTCGGGAGTTACATGGGAATGTGACTACAGGAATGGAAGATGAGAAGTATTGGGGTTCTACTTCATAGTATTAAAAGTCTGCCAGCGCTGGTAAAAGTCTGCCAGGTGCCAGTGGCTCACGCCTGTAATCCCAGATACTCAGGAGGCTGAGATCTGAGGATCATGGTTCAAAGCCAGCCCAGGCAGGAAAGTCCCTGAGACTCTTATCTCCAATAAACTGCTAGAAAACCGGAAGTGGCCTGTGGCTCAAGCAGTAGAGCGCTCACCTTGAGCTGAAGAGCGCAGGGAAGAGCGCCCAAGCCCAGAGTTCAAGCCCCATGACTGACCAAATAAATAAATAAATAAAAATAAAAGCCTGTGCTGTCTACCTAAAAGACCTATGTAGTATTCTAAACAAGATGATCAATAACTGAAGTAGCCAAATAATTAAAATTACAGTTAAAATTTAAAATCATTGAGATAGGCTTCTGTGTCTTTCTATTATTAATTCTTGTTGGTAACCAGATTCTTCCGTTTTATGATACGCTTTATGGTAGTTTGTACATTAGATTTGTTGGGGGGTCTGTGTACGCACGCACACTTGTGTGTGCATGCATGTGCTGGTCCTACAGTTTGAACTTGGGGCTGAAGCCCTGTCTGTGAGCTTTTCTAGCTCAAGGCTAGCATTCTACCTCTTGAGCCGTACCTCCATTTTGGCTTTCTGGTGGCTTATTGGAGTAAGAGTCTCATGGACTTCCTTGCTCAGGATTGGGTCCAGCTGCCATTCTCATATCTTAGCCTTCTGAGTAGCTGGGATTCAAGCATGAATCACCAGCGCCTGACTTGTATGTTGAATTGTAGACATTTTTTCTCTTTCCTTAGTTGACTATATTGTGGAGTATGACTATGATGCTATACATGATGATGAATTAACTATTCGGGTTGGGGAGATCATCAGGAATGTGAAAAAGCTCCAGGAGGAAGGATGGCTGGAAGGAGAACTAAATGGGAGAAGAGGAATGTTCCCTGATAATTTTGTGAAGGTTAGTATTTTCAGTTTGATTTCTACCTCTTGCTTTACAGGATTTATTTTTTAAGTAGTAAGAAATAAATACAGCTATGGGCAATTTTATTGCTTTGTGTCCTGCTTGACAATAACTTGTGTGCACATCTTTGTGCTGGTATGTGTATATACGGACATATCTGTCTACTTTCCTTTTCTCTTTTGTGGTACTGGTGATTGAACTTAGGTCTTCTAGCTTGCTACTCAACCACTCTAGCACTTGAGCCATATTCCCAGTTAAAAGTATGTAATTGGGTTGGGAAGGTGGCTCAGTGGTAGAGCACTTGACTTGCATGCATGAGGCCTGGGTTCGATTCCTCAGCACCACATAAGCAAAAAGAAAAAAGCAGGAAGTGGCGCTGTGGCTCAAGTGGTAGAGCGCTAGCCTTGAGCTGAAGAGCTGTGGGACAGTGCCCAGGCCCAGAGTTCAGGCCCCAAGACTGGACCCAAAAAAAAAAAAGTATGTAATTGTATGGCACTTCTTTTTTTAAAAATGTATTTATTTTATTGTGCGAATACCATACAGAGGAGTTAGAATTACATGGGCAAAGTATGGCACTTCTTAACTAATAAAAAGATCATCTGAAGTCCAAGATGCTTCATGGTTTCTCATTGTATTTTGTTGCTTCTCTAGCTTGCTCAGAGGTATTAGATCATGCTTTTTGACTTGTAGTGTTGCAATAGTTATCTGCCAAAGTAACAATTATTCTTTATTATTAAATTTTCTTTTTTAGTTTAGGAAACAATCTTCAGCTTGTTAAATTTATTACAAATGAATAATCAGAAGTTTAGAAAGTAAGGAGGAGGAGAGTTAGTGATGTCTTTACAGATTGCTTACAGTGGTCTTGTTTGCTGTATATTTGTTTTTTTATATCCAGCCTCATCGGATTATGATTATGAATGTTTAGAAGGCTCAGAGTGTGTCTCTCATTTGTTTTTCCAACTTGCATAGTAGTAGTTAGTTGAATATTTGCACAGCAAGCATGCTTAGTTAATGTTTGTTTTCTAAATTATTTGTTTTTTTGTAGCTGTGGTTTTACCACCAAGTGTGGTAATAGTTAGTTGATTTCAGGGAAGGTGAAGTATCTGCACTTTCAACAAATCGAAACAATTTTCATATCAGATTGTATGAAGTAGGACTCTGATGGCACTCCCTATCCCCTACATGTGGAACAGGGGTTTCCAAGTTTTAAGATGCCGTATTACTTTTTTTTTTTTTTAAGAGCCTTATAGTCTAAAAATGCTAGCTAAAGATTTTATAGATGGTTAGGGTCTGAGCACTGTCCCTGAGCTTTTTTGTTCAAGGCTAGTGCCACTTTGAACCACAGTGCTACTTCCCTTTTTCTGGTGGTTAATTGGAGATCAGCATTTTGTGGACTTTCCTGCCTATGCTGTCTTTGAACTGTGATCCTCAGATCTCAGCTTCCTGAGTGCTTGGATTACAGGCAGGAGCCACTGGCAAATGGCTTGAACATTAAGATTTTAGCATTCTCAGAAATAAAGTTTTACTGAACATATCTGTGTTCAAACACATTCGTAGTACACTTGACAGAATAGATTTAGAATTGTAGTTGCCTTATTGGTTGTCCATCTGAGGATTTGTTTTGTGTGTTGAGGTAAAGGTTGGGCAGATTTTCAGACAGACTTTCCTTTCTCTTTCTCAATCTCTAGTTCCAATAAGACCAACTCAGTGGTGATTGTCTGAGTGAGCTGTATTCTTCAAATATGTTTGAACAGAACTAAAGGTTGGAAATCAGTGCAGCAGGATTTATAGAATAATGACTTTAGCTAGCTGTATTTTGGCACTTTACATTTGAGAATTTTGACTTAAATAAAATTCAACTTATACTTATTTCTCCCTTTATAGGAAATTAAACGAGAAACTGAACCCAAGGATGACAATTTGCCCATCAAACGGGAAAGGCATGGAAATGTAGCAAGTCTTGTACAGCGGATGAGCACTTACGGACTTCCAGCAGGGGGAATTCAGCCACATCCACAAACCAAAAGCATTAAGAAGAGTATGCAAATAATTCTTTCTCTGCTTAATTATATCAAAATAGATTTTTTTTTTCTTGGTGCTGGTTCTGGGGCCTGAGCTCTTTGGCTCAAGCTTAGTGGTCTACCACTTGAGCCACAGCTCCACTTCTGGCTTTTTTTGGTAATTTATTAGAGATAAGTCTCACAGACTTTCCTGACCAGGGCTGGTTTTGAACTGCAATCCTCAGATCTCATACATGAGCCATTTTTTTATAATAGGAAGCTTATTTATAGTTTTATTTTTTCCCCAAGTACTGGGCTTTCAGTCTCCCACTTCCCTGGTATTCTACCACTTGATCCACAGGCCCCCTGGGACTATGATTCTCCTCACCTTTACTTCCTGAATCTCCTCATCTCTACCTCATGACTAGCTGGGATCACAAGCATGAGCCACCATGCCTGACTTTTTCTTCCCTTTTTTTTTAAATGACAGAGCTGGCCTTGAACTCATCCTCTTTAGTTCTGCAGCTGCAAGGCATGTACCACCACGCATGGCCCAGCCTTTGTCTTCAGTTGTTCCATGTCTGAACAGAATTTGTGGAACAGGTGTAGCAGTTGTCTTAACATAAAAAGTCTGAGGTGCCCTTCCGTCGTACTCCACTGTTACTGCTGCTGTCTGTCAGTTTGGGGAAATATTACTGTTTGGTTTCTTCCCAGTTCACTTTTAGTCTAATTTCAGTCATAAGAAAAGAAATGATTGGTTTGCTTGTTCTTTGTTTTTTAGTTATGTTTGTTAAACTAAAAATTCTGTTAACGTCCCTTGTCCTGTTTTTCTTTTTCTTTGTCAAATTTGACTAGAACTATACTGTGGGTTACAAAAATCTTTTTTTTCTGCTGTTGTTTATCTGTATTTTAGCTTTAATATGTGAAGAACATTTAAGTCTTGAAAACCTTGTATGTGGGCTGGGGATGTGGCTTAGTGGTAGAGTGCTTTCCTCGCATGCATGAAGCCCTGGGTTCGATTCCTCAGTACCACATAAACAGAAAAAGCTGGAAGTAGTAATGTGGCTTAAGTGGTAGTAGTGCTTACCTTGAGTAAATGAAGCTCAGGGACAGTGCTTAAGTTCTAGCTTGAACAGGGTTCAAGCTCTAGGACTGGCAAAATAAATAAATAAATAAATGGGAAAAATCTTATAAGAAAAATAACCATTCTCTTTTGTTGCTGCTCTTGGCTTATCTAACATGTTCTCTACTTGTACCCTCTTTTGTGCTGTTTTTGTTTTGTGTATTTTTTGAGGGAGTATCTCACTGATCCTGGCTGATCTTATCTTTATGATCTTGCTTTGGCCTCAAGTATTGGGATTATTTTTAATGTTTTGTTTTTGGCAGTGTTGTGGTTTGAACTTAGGACTTCAAGCTTATGGCAGGTATTCTATCACCTGTACCAATCCTTACTGTGTTATTTTCCAGAGTCTAACTCTTTTCACTTGGCCCAGGCTAGACTTTGATTCTTCTGTTTATATTTCTTATGTAACTGGGCTGGACATGTACTACCATACCCATCTTATTGATCGAGATGTGGTCTCACTAACTTTTTGTCCAGGCTGACACTGGACAGTATTTCTTCCTGATTTCCATCTCTCACATTGCTGGGATTATGAGCCACTGTGCCTTGTCCTTTTTTTTTTGTAGTCTTAAGATTAGTATTATATATTTTGCTTTTGAGTGAAATGTTTAAATAGATTCACTTGCTGGAAGCCTTGTCATTATTTGTAGTTGATTTTAGGAATGTGCATGTTACAGTGTGGGTCAGGGCAAGCTCTTATTCTCTTATTAATGTGAGTCATATGACTGTGATAAAGGAACCTTCACGTCTTTCTCAACCTAAATTTTTATTATTTCCTTTAGAATTGAAGAAACGTCAGTGTAAAGTTCTTTTTGACTACATTCCACAGAATGAGGATGAACTGGAGCTGAAAGTAGGGGATATTATTGATATTAATGATGAGGTAAGGATAACACGTGTTAGCTATAATGTTACATTTAGGACAAGGTCTAAGTCTTACAAAAGTGCTTGTAAGAATATTACTTTTAGCTGGGTGCCAGTGGCTCATACCTGTAATCCTAGCTGCTTAGGAGGCTGAGATCTGAGGATTGTAGTTCAAAGCCAGCCTGGGCAGGAGCAGCAATGAGACGCTTAGCTCCAATAAACCACCAGAAAACCAGAAGTGGTGCTGTGGCTCAAGTGGTAGAGCACTCACCTTGAGCTGAAGAGTGCACCCAGGCCCAGAGTTTAAGCCCCATGACCAACAACAACAGCAAAAAATTGTCAGAATTTATAGAAATTTGTTTGGCTGTTCTTTACTCCTTAGGTAAATACCCTAACTATTTAAGAGCTAGATAATAGGCTAATAGTTGGGGTTCCACATACTGGGGTCTCACATATTGATAATACATTGTTGGGATTCCACATATTGATAATAGTCTGTTGATGTTTGTGACCCAGTTTGGTTTTTTACCCCATTACATGTAGTTTGAATCATTGAATCATTCTTTAATATCTTCTAACAGTTTGTATTCTAGCCACTTTATAATCCAACCCTGCTTTCTATGAGTAAATCATTTACTTTTATGTCACCATACTTTGTGTATGAATTTTTTTTTTTTTTTTTTGGGTCCGGTCGTGGGGCCTGAACTCTGGGCCTGGG